GACCCAAGATTAAAAAAAAAAAAAAAAAAGCAGAGACCAGAATATCTTTTATTACTGTAATAGTTACTTTTTTCACTGTGGTGATAAAATACCTGACAGAAACAGCTTAGGGGAGGAAAATTTTACTTTGGCTCCTAATTTCAGAGGAATTCAGTCCACTGTGGTGGGGAAAGCACTGTGGTGTGGCTTAGTCAGTGATGGTGGGTGCGTGAAGCAGCCTGTTTACATGATAGCTGACCAGGAAGCAGAGAAAGCAGGACCAGGGAACCAGCAGTGGGCTTAACCTTCAAAGGCCCCTGGTGATTTACTTCCAGCAGCCACACCCCATCCCCCCAAAGGCTCCACGGCCTTCAAAATAGGACTGCAAGCTGGGGACTAAAGACTCAAAACAAGCACTGGTGGGGGATAGCCCAGAGCTAAACCCAATAATACCTAGCCTTGGAAGCCAATCAGTATCACTTCTATTATATTTTATTGCTCACGTAGACCAAGCCTGATGCAAGGTGGGAGGAGATGATGTGTGTGTGAGGAATCATCTCTGTAGTCTGAAGAGATTCTCCACCTTTTCCTATATAGTAGCAGAATTGGATAGATCAAAATATGACTGACAGAAGGGCAAATACAAGAAAAGGTGGAGCTTAGAGAGGATATCAAAGATTGAAAAGACCCACAGAGCTGTTGAAAAGAAATGAAGCAAGGCAGGATAGAAAAGCCTCAGGCAGAACGTGGAGAGTCTTATGGGAATGGATTACACAAAGGATTGTGTTCCGAGGCTGAGGAGTTCAGTTCCAGGCCTCCTACACTCCATAGGCTTTTCTGTGGATATACATCTTGAAGCAAAGTCCTTTAGAAAGGTTCCTTATACACATTGCCTACGCGCTTAGCTCATCAGCTGCATCTGTTCTACCCTCCCCATCCTGTCCTCACAATAAAGAGCTCATGGGTGGGGATGGAGAGATGGCTCAGCAGTTAAGAGCACCAGCTGCTCTTGCAGAGGCCTTGGGTTCGATTCTCGGCACCCACATGGCAGCTAACAATCATCCTTAATTCCAGTTCCAGGGGAATTCTACGCCCTCTTCTGACTTCCATGAGCATTGCATGACATGGGTGCACTTACATACATGCAGGCAATATACTCAGACACATAAAATAAAAATAATAAAATATTTTTAAAAAAGAGCTCATGGGTGAGGCTATATATGTCCTCAGCCATTGAGCTGTATGTGTCTTTCTGTATACGCTCTCCACTTCCCTTTTGTTTCATCTAAGACTTTCATAAATCCCCCTTCAACCAGTTCACTGTCCTCTCAGGGCTATTTAGAAATCCAGTGGTTAAAGAGACGAGTAGGATCGTGGTAGGAGCAACCTCACAGAGAGAAGGCTTTGCTGTCTACTTGCCCTTCTCATATGTGTTCTCTGCACTAGGGAGCCGGCAGGATAGTCTTTATTTACACTAAAGATGACGATATTTTCTTGCAGCTATGTCAAGGATGTGGAGCAAGCTTCTTCCTAAAATAGCCAGAAAGAGAGAGGAGAGAGAGAGGGAGAGAGAGAGAGAGAGAGAGAGCAGTAGAGTCGAAGAGAACCAGTCCTGTGAGGAAACAGACACACAGAAGTGGAATCAGGATCGTACAGTGAGGCTGAGCACGGACGGACTTTTCCATGGGGTGCTTTTAGCTCTGCCTTGTGCCACCTGTCTAGGCCAACGAAGAAGCTACAGCTATTTTAAAAAATTTATTATTTGGGGGGGCTGGAGAGATGGCTCAGCAGTTAAGAACACTGGTTGTTCTTGCAGAAGACCCAGGTTCGAATATCAGCACCCACATGGCAGCTAACAACCATCTATAACTCCAACAGCCTCTTCTGACCTCCTTGGGCTTTGTATGACACGGGTGCACTTACCTACATGTAGGTAATACGTGCATACACATAAAATAAAAATAATAAATAGGGCCGGGCATGGTGGCGCACGCCTTTAATCCCAGCACTTGGGAGGCAGAGACAGGCGGATCTCTGTGAGTTCGAAGCCAGCCTGGTCTACATAGTGAGTTCCAGGTCAGCTGGGGCTACAGGGAAACCCTGTCTCAAAAAGACCAAAAAATAAAAACTAAAAAAATTATTTTTATTTTATGTGTATGTGTGTATTGTTTGCATGTGTGTAAGTGCACCCATGTCGTACAATGCCTGTGGAGGTCAGAAGAGGGTGTTGGAGTCCCCTGGAACTGGAATTAGGGATGGTTGTTAGCTGCCATGTGGGTGCTCTGAGCCATCTGTCTAGGCCCACCACAGCTATTATTATGGATGCAAAGAAAAGAGAAAAGGTGCTGGCTCTCAGCAAGCTCATAGGACACTATAAGACACATATGTATCCCCACATGCTGTAAACAGAGAGGTATGTGAGTTTTTGTAGAAGACAATTGTTCGGGACTTATTTGTGGGGACTCGCCACCTGCTGGTTCATGTATGGGAGGAGAGCAAACATTAAAGACTCAAGAAGCTGTTGATTCAGGCTTGAAGAGCGGGAAGGCTGGTGCCTACAGATCCCAGGGGATTCTGTAGATGGGGTGGACAGGCAAGGAGGAGGCCTGGTAGGGAAGACAAAAGCCTGAGAACTAAGGGCCGGGAAAGGGCACCAGTTCTGTACTCCATCCGGCACATAAGTCAGGGAGCAGAAAGTGGGGATGGCGGCGGTACTGGGGCAGAGCCTGCATCTGGTGATTGGAGGGGCCCAGGGCCCAGATGTGGCCTTGGCCACAGGCATCCAGTACCTTGAATGAGGAGTTCCCAGCATACTGCAGACTGTACAACCAATGCTTGGGGCAGGACAGCTTCTTTTCCCTTGTCTTTCCCTTCCCCTTGCTTGGCAGGAAGGCAAGAGAGGCAGAAACACTCGGAAGTACGTGTGCCCCCACTCCATGCTGGTGCAGCATCTTTCCTGGGCACAAGGAGGTGGACTACAGTGGGAGATTCAGGTTCTGGGTCTCAGCTAGGGGAACAACAACTCCCCTTCATAGCCTTCATCCTAGACAAGTTCCCTGCCTGGACAGCCTGGGTGGGGGGTACAGTGACTACCTTCACTTCTCTGCTACCAGCCACACACACTTTGGTATGATTATGCCTTAGGGATACTTCAGGGGTATTGGCAGTTGATGCTTTGTCCTTAACTGTAGGATACAATGCTTTGTTTCCAGTTAAGAGAGTTCCAGTTACCAAATGTAGAAATAAAGAATAGTTTAAAAGGAACAAATGTTTCCCAGTGCACGTTCTGTTCCTTGTATTCTGATGAATGATGGCATGTGGAAACATCACAGAATTCCTAGGAGAAGTAAGTACTTTTGGTATTGCCCCTGATGACTGGTACATGTAGCTTGTCTGCTGAAGACTGGTGAGTTGTATGTATGCACACAGCCAGTAACAGGTGGCGCTCATACCAAAGCTGGATCACCTGGCCAATTTGGGCTGCCATTTTAAAAGGTTCATCTGGAGCTTCTGAGGCAAGTGACTGATCTGTGCACCTGAGGCCTGGTGACGCCAGTGACCCTCTGACAGGGGGAGGCAGGAGGCTCACCTGCAGCAGAATGGTGGGCCTGGAAGCCTGTGAGACAGAGATCCCCCCTTGTTCTTGCTATAGGGTGGGTATGGAAAGCCAGTCTATTTCATTTCCCTGGGATCTAAGTGGTCTCTAGTGAAAGGGGCAGTATTCAGCCAAATACCACAGAGTTGGTAGCCCATCCTGGTGGTTGAGACCCAAAGGTTGGGAGGGCAAGTGACTGGCTATTTTGACTCCTGGTCAGACATCCTGGCCTCAGGGTCTGGGGAACAGAGACCTGGCTTTTCAGTGTAGTTGTTCCATAGTGTATGGAATTCCTGATCATGTCTCTGGGGTCTAAGACTTTAGTGAACAAACGTTACTCCATAGTTTCACATGCCCCTAGGACTAGGGGAAGGGTGCTCCATCTATGTGACTATGGGAAAGCCATCATCCATGCAGACTTTCAAGTGTGGCTGATTTGGGGGTCCTATAAGCAACCCATCACCCACGCCAAACAAACCCATTAGTTCTCCAGAGGGAATCTGGTTGAAAATACTTTGGTTTGTTGTTGGGACCTTAGAAGAGGGAGGTAGATGTTGCCTAATCTCCCCCTGGGAGAAAATTCTTGAAATAGATGTATATGCCCATACCTGGCTTCCAGGGACTTCCCATCATTCACCTCTTTCCCCTCCACCTCACTTTATCCCTACATGGGGTCTGACGCTTGCTCCACAGACTTTTATTCTGAAAGAACCAAGACCTCTGGAGGCTGAGGCTGGAGCTGGCCCTGACCCTAAACCAGCTCCACCCTTCTGGGCTGTTTTCCAGGGCAGTGACTCTGGGACTCTGTAGGCCTTACTGTCCTCAGCTCTCCACCATATCCTCGGTCTCCAGCCTTGCTGGCTTTTAAGCAGAAGGTTCCTACAGTTATACCTGCTGGTTTTTTTTTTTTCCCCTCCTGTCACTTTCACACCCAAATGTCCCTAATCTCTTTGTCCCTTGGTCTTGTGTCTTCTATCTTCTCTTTTCAGTCTGGCTTTCTTGCTGCCTATAGTTTCCAATGTAGTCATGGAGGGCTGGGCATCATTTGGAAGCTTGTGGCCTCCTTCAGCATGGACAAAAGTCTTGCCCAGTCCCACTCTTTATTGTAGCAATGTAGGAAAGCCAGATGTCCTCAGCTACGCATAAAGTCAAGTCTATGGTGCTCTGTGGGCATGGGCCTTGGATCTTGTTCTGGGATGCAAATGGGTAAAGGCACTTGCTGCCAAGCCTGACGACCTGAGTTTGAGCCCCAAGACTCACATGGTGGCAGGAAAGAACTGACTCCTGCAAGTTGCCCTCTAACTGCTTGCACATATGCAGGTGGGAATACGTGCATATGCATGTGCATGTGTGCGCATGCGACACACACACACACACACGCACACACACACACAAATAAGAAAGGTTAAAAATTAAAAAAAAAGACTACACGGGTGCTTCCATTTGAACTCTTGAACCCAGTCTCAGTTTCCTAAAAGATCCCCCACCGTAATATTTTCAGTAACCATCAAAAGCCCAGAGCTAGTTTTAAGAAGAAGCCAAATGAGCTGGGGAGAATAGAGAATGGTCATTTTTCCGCTGCTTCCTTCTGGTACTCGGGAGACCAGAATGTGACCTGAAGGGGTGGGGGTGGGGGTTACTGTTAGTCAGTAGACTTTGAGAAAGAAAGGACTTTGGCTGGGGACTGCAAGTTACAGATTAACATGGGGAGGAATGAGGTGGGACTGAGAAAGATGCTGATCTAGCACAGCCTGGGCTGAATTGGGGTCTGGACTGAGGATATCTGGAGGGTCTGCAGCTCTTTTTGGCTATTGGACCTTCTTGAAGACCTGCTTGCACACTGCATCCCTCGCAGTCAGTTCCTGAGGATAGAAGAGGATGATGAAGACAGAGAAAGAGGGTTCTTGTTAATGGGAGCTCCCTTTTCAAAGTCCTTGACCACAATTTAGATCATTTGAAGTACTGGGATTCTATCATTGTTCCAAATCCTCACGTTTTCATGGAGAAGGAAGGCTCCTGGGTTGGGGAAATGGAATGGCTCTCTCTAACTCTCCAGTTATGATTTATGGATGTTCATCTGAAAGTAGCCAGGGCCCACCTTTGCCATTCTCTATTTCTTCCTTTTCTGCCCTTTTTTCCAAGTGCTTTTGTTTTCTCTCCTTGGCACTACCTTGGACAGAGTTGGGTGGGGCAAAGCGGTGAACTTCCTCATTGTGGACAAGGGGATCCGTCCTCACTGTCAGGATGGTTCCCAGACATACCTGTTTGTGTCTCCCTCACTCAGCTTACCAGATGCAGCTTATCTCCCTCCAGCCAGTGTCGCCAGCCCCGGTTGGGGACCTCCCCTTTCTGCACACACACCAGGTGCTCCTCTTCCCATGTTACTATGGTCTACGGGGAAGGCAGGGTGAAAGAGAAATTGGAGACAGGACACATTAAGTGATTCCCAACTCATTCTGTGTTCTGTAGCTCCTTTATTCTTAGAGATGCTCTGACTTAGCTGGACTCCCCTCCCCTACTCCTAAAGAACTGGGGCCAGGGGCTGAGTCGTCCACAGTGACCTTGGGGGAGAACAAGGGAGGAGCAGGATAAAGGAGGGTGCAGCTGGGGAGACAGGTGATGAAAGTGAAGATAATGTTCCCTGAATACCTCTGGCTGTGCTGGAGGGACTTTTGGGATAGAAGAGAGGCTGGTTGGGAGTAAACCTGGAGTCTCTCGTCTCCTCTTTCTCGGGTTCAGTGGTAGCTGACAAGTCTTTGGAAATTAAAGAGCAATGCCTCTGGCCTGGAATTCCAGTTTACATTGATAGAGTCTTCCCAAAGGATAGGCTTGCTTAGTCTTGACCTGGTGGAGAACCAGTGCTTAGGTATCTATGATGCCTGGCAAGAGTGTTGAGAATGGAAATAGGGAAGGAAGAGTGAGTTCAACTCAAGGAAGTTAGGAGTTAATTAGGTTAGAGATATGGGAAGTCGGGAAGCTTCTATTCTTTTCTTCCCTCTTTCTGCCTTCCTTCCTTTCTTTCTTTTTAGAGATTAAACTCAGGGCATTGTGTATGCCAGGCAAGTACTCTACCACTGAACTATACCCATAGTCCCCTCCCTTTTAAAACGTGTGTGCATGTGGAGGCTGGAGGACAACCTTGAGTGTCATTCTCAGGAATACTGTTTGCTTCCTTTGAGACAGGGTCTCTCATTGGCCTGGAACCTCACCAATTAGGCTAGACTGGTTGGCCAATGATCCTAAGGAATCATTGTCTCGCCCCCGCCCCCCCGCCGGTGTTGGGATTTCAAGCTTCTATCACCATGCCTGGCATGTTTACATGCGTTCAGGAATTGAACTTAGGACCTTAGCACTTTACTGACTGAGCTATGTTCCTAGCCTCTGCAGCTTTCTTCTTATTTTGAAACAGAGTCTCACTAAGTTACCCATACTGGCCAAGAACTCTGTAGCTTAGGCAGCCCTTGCAATCCTCCTGCCTCATGCTCTGGAGTAGCTGGGATCACAGGTCTATGCCATTAGGCATTGCTCATAATGGGAAATCTCAAGCAGGGAAAGAAATAGCATAGAGGTAAGAAAGAAGGGAAGACATTCCTGGTATTCCTGAAGGGCTATAATGTGGAGTACATGTGGGAATATACTGCAGAGCTGGAATGCCCTCTTAGTAAGTGGACTTTGCTTAGTCTTGAGCTGGTGGAGTGGTGTAAGCCAGAAAGTGACATGGTGGATCTTGTGGCTACAGGTAAGGCTATGCAGACTGGGTTAGAGGGGGTTTAAGATTGGGGACTAGCTAGGTGTGATGGTAAAGGCCTTTAGTCCCATCACTCAGGAAGCAGAGGCAGCTGGATCTCTGTGAGATCGAGGTCAGCCTGTTCTACACAGGGAGTTCCAGGTCAGCTGGAGCTACAGGGAGATCCTGTCTCCAAAACAAACAGAAAGACAGACAAACAAAAGATTGGGGAGCAAGCCGGGGCAGGTGAGAAATCAGAGCCCGAGTTAAAGCAGTGGTAGTGAGGAAGAGTAGAAGGAACAGGTGACAGACACTTAGAAGAGTGACGTATGATAGAAATAAAATGGATCTTAAATGTATACAAATCATTTCTAGGAGCCCAATTGGAGAACTGAATGAACTTAAATTTAAGAATATATTTTATAGCCAGACATGGTGGCACATGCCTTTAATCTTAGCACTCTGGAGGCAGAGGCAGGCAGACCTCTGTGAGTTCGAGACGAGCCTGGTCTACATAGCGAGTTCCAGGCCAGCTGGGGCAACAGGGAGACCCTGACTCAAAAAGACCAAAAAATATATTTCATTTAATATAAAATATTCAAAATATTATAATTTCAGCATGTGATCAATATAAAAATTTGGACTTTTTTTTTTTTGGTCTTTTTGAGGGAGGGTCTCCCTGTAGCTCCAGCTGGCCTAGAACTCCCTATGTAGACTAGGCTGGCCTCCAACTCACAGAGGTCTGCCTGTCCCTGCCTCTCAAGTGCTGGAACCAAAGGCATGTGCCACCACACCAGGCTTGGACATGGTTTTGATGTTATTCTACAATGTACTTATGGCACATTTCCATTTGGATTAGTTACATGTCAAGTAGCTATTATGTTGACCAGTGCATAAAGGTGTGTGTGTGTGTGTGTGTGTGTGTGTGTGTGTGTGTGTGTGTTTTGAGGACACAGAGGTAAGGAAACAAGAGAGACATTAACTGTACTTACATTTTGGGTGGTGATTGCCATTAGCAGACACAGTAAATACAAAAGTAAAGGAGCTTTGAGGAGAGAGATAATGAATTCGAGTTTGTCCTTGGGCACACAAATGGAAATATTTTGCAGACAGCTGAGAACATCACCCTGGAGCTCAGGTGATGGCTGTGGCTGAAGATCAAATGTCAAAGGCAGTTTACAGATGGCAGCGGAAAGGCTGGGTGCAGTTGACTTAGCCTGTGAGTGGCTGTGTGCAGACGAGAGAAAGAAGGTCAAGAACAAAATCCTGGTGGGGTCCCCCAGTTTGGAGATTAGTAAGAGAACTCTGTCTGCAAATGAGATCAAGAAGAACCAAGGAAACAATAGGGAAAACACAGAGGAGTACGGCTATGGTGGTAACGTAAAGACTACGACAACCCAGTGTCACAGGCTTCAGGATGAGTCGACGCTTGCTTACTGCTTGTACGTTTTGTCTTTGTGATTGATGATAGAAGGGGCAAGGAACAGGATTGGAGAGATGGCACAGTGATTAAGAGCACTGACTGCTCTTGCAGAGGACCCAGGTTCAGTTCCCAGCACCCACATGGTAGCTAACAGCCATCAGTAATTCTAGTTCCAGGGGATCTGATGCCTTCTTCCGACCTCCATGGACACTGCATGACACGGGTGCACTTACACACACGCAGGCAATACACTCACACACATAAAATAAAAATAATAAGTAAAACATTACAAAAAGAAAGGGCAAGGAAGAAGTTGGCAGGAGTTGGGGGGGTCGCAGGAGCTTATTGGACCCAGACACTGTTACCTGGAAACCCCATGGCCTGCTAGTGTGGTCCTTGTCCCTGGCTCTGGCTGGAGGGGTTACCGTGTTTTGGTTCATAGTGTTAGGAGACACCTGCTCATCTTCCCCTTTCAGCCTGAGGAAAAATACCTGGCATTTTCGTCCATCCACGATCCTTAGATCCTCCTCAAATTCAACTCCCACTTCGAATTCCATAGTGTAGTTGCGGAAGGGGCTGAGCGTCTTCACTACCATGTGGTTGCCTTGGTGGTCGATCTCCTTGTCAGGTCTCAGCAGCTGCACTATTTTCCGCAGAGCCACGTTGATATCTGTAGGGGTTGAATCTTAATAATGACTCTGCTGGCCAGCCAGGTGCTCCCTACCTGGCCAGCACGGTCAAAAATGTCCTAGCAGGGCTGGAGAGATGGCTCAGTGGTTAAAAGCACTGGCTGTTCTTATAGAAGACCCAGGTTCAAATCCCAGCACCCACATGGTGGCTAACAACCATCTGTAACTCAAGTTCCATGGGATTCAATGCCCTTTTCTGTCTTCCTCGAGCATTGCATGACATGGGTGCACTGACATACATTCAGGCAATACACTTGTACACATAAAAAAAAAAAAAAAAGAATGTCCTAGCATTACCCTGGACAGAAATGGATCCCAAATCATCAGGTACTAGGCACCTGAGTCTTTCCGTATTGTCCAAGCCCAGCATGGCTTCTCAAGTGGGACCTAGAGGATGAAGGGAGAGGGAGGAATGGGAGCACAAAGGGTCAGGAAGGGTGAGGTCATTACTTAGGGCCTGCATGTAGTCCTCCAAGTTCTTCTGCGAGACAAAACGGTAGTAGCCTGTGAGGTTGGGAGGCATTGTTCTCGATGCAGACAGGAGCAGGGTGAGGAATCAGGGGTGCTGCCTTGCAGAGGAGGTTCAGAGACTCCAGGCCAGCTTCAGAACACAGAGACAGGAGTGTGTAAAGGTCCAGCTAACTAGGGCTTTTATAGCACTGGGCCCCTGTTGCAATAAGAGTCCTCTCCCACACTCCCTTCCCATAATAATAAGCTCTGGGCTGGTGTCTGCAGCCTGAAGGAAAGGCAGGCACTTGGCAAATTCATGCCTGGCCTCTGTTCGGAACCTGGAGCAGCACTTGGGGCTGTCAGCTATCCAGAATTCTAACCTTCTGAGTGTCAGTTTTTGTCTCCATGCCATTTCTGGCAGGCTAGGGAGCCCTGAGGGACAGGCTCCCCCTTGAGGCAGCTGTGGTTGGTGTAGCTGTGTGGGGGTGGGAATGAGTTCTAGCAGTATCCTTAGATGGGAGATGGGCACAGGTTGAACATGACTGACTCTGGAGCATTGAAAGGCGTGAGGGGCTGAGGTGGGGACAGCCTTGGTTGGGCCAGGAGCCCGGGCCTCCACAGCTCTCTCAGACTGTTGGCTCAACCCAGTCCTCAAACTGGTGTCCTTGGTCCTTCCAGGGCCTGCAAGAGGGAGACAGAGAAACTGACAGCCCAATGGGTGTTGAGTTCAAGGTTCTAGAGCAGGTGATGAGGGAGGGACCTGATTGGTTATTCTGGAGAATTTTACAGTCTTTGGTTTGGGGGTTTCCCTCAATTCTGAGTCCTGAAGAATAGCATCACTCCCAGCCCTTGAAAAGCCCAAACTTAACAGATACATTACAGTAACGATGTGGGAGATCCTGACATTTATATGCCTTGCCCCCAACTGCTCACTTCTCTCCCAAACCTACCCAAATCCCTGTCCCTGGGTTCACAAGCTGTGAGGCAGTTCCGTCATGGTTTAAGGTGGGGAATTCAGGGAGAGTAAGCAATAGAAAAAGGAACACTTAACATTTGGGATGGTGAACTTCCCTACAGGGATGTGTGTGGAAAAGCGGGCAGGAAGACCTCACTCTTCCTCCAGCCCCCAGAGCCCTTGTCATCTGGCCTTTGCTGGCCCTCCTCTGGTTTCCTCAGGGCCTGGGTTGGAACTGAAAGGCTACAATTTCTCGGGTTCCCACTGAAGGAGGTTTTACTTTGCAGTTCCCAGAAGGCACGCAGCAGGGACTAGCTGATGGAATGGGCTGTGAAAAGAGGTTAATGCGGAGTTGGGGGTGGGTGACGTGGATACTGCCTCTTCTGGCCACCCTCAAGTCTGTTGACGTCTCTCTTCCTCACCCCACCTCCAGGCTTCCAGCTCCGTCTTCTTCTGATGTCCCTCTGATCTCCCCCCCCCCCCACCCCCCTCTATGGCTTTCCAACTTCCTCCCTAGCCCCCGCAGTTCCTCCGCTCCCCCAAACTGCAGCCAGGGGAAAAATCCCTAACACTTGCTCCCGCCCCTGCTCCCTAGTCCCATTGGTTCCCTACCCTCATGCAGCACCTGGCGCCCCCAGTCTCCCAATTGGCTGTTGGCTCCATCAGTCCTTGCCTGGCTGTGCTGACGTCATCCTGCAGTAGCAGGGATGGGGTGGGAGGGAGGGAGGAGAGAGAGAGAGAGAGAGAGAGAGAGAGAGAGAGAGAGAGAGAGAGAGAGGGCGCGGGACTATAGAGAGAACGCACGCTGGACTGTAGAGAGAACGAGAAGCTGCTGCAAGTCCCCCATCTCAGCCACCCAGGCCAGGGGTCTGCCCGTGTCTGCCATATGGACTAGTGTGGTCAGCAGGCTCCTTTCCGTTCTTGTCCCACTGTCCCCCCGTCCCCCCCCCCTTTGCGGAATCTTTGCATCCCTCCCCCAGGTGGATTTAGCAGCCTTGAGGATCTCTGGGGACCTGACCCCCTGGCCCGGGAGTGCTGCACACCGCACCCGCAGCGCCATGACCCTCCTGCTGCTGACCCTCTTGCTGACCTCTCTGCTCCAGGCCAGCTCTGGGAACAAAGGTGAGTGAGGTGGGGTGGGGGCTCTGAACTGGGGGTATCAGGCAGAGCAATATGGGGCTGTGGAAGGAAGGAGGTGCTGAGGCTCTCTGGTACCTGACAGGTGTCTTTCCTTCCTGACCACCCTCCTTCCCACCGTTTCTCTCAGACCCTCTCTTTTCACCTGCCACTTCCCAGGGCTGCCTCCGCCTCCTGTCTGGCCCACCTCTACCCAATGTGCCTTCCTTGCCCAGTATCCTGCTGGTATTTGGTCCCCATTCCCACCTGGGTCCCTCTGCCCCTCCCCCATTCCTCCTTGCTGGTAGATACCTCTGTCTCCAGAGGGACTTGCCCCTGAGGGTGACACCCATCTCTCAGTGACTTTGCTTTCACTGGGTGCGCACACTAAGGGTGTGTGGCAGATCCATATGGTTGTCTCAGAAACTGTTCATTGCAGCTCAGCAATTCAGAGCACGTATGTTTTTGCGTGGTCCTCTGCATCCATTCCCTTCTGCCTCATCAGCTGGGCTGTGGGTTACCAGAGCTGCCCTCTCTGGCAGACAGCAGATAAATTCAGCTGGGCAAGACTGACAGAGGGTGGGGAGGGTGGGGCCAGGGGCAGAGGGTTCAGGTAGGTGGACTGGAGGGAGAAAGGTAAGAAAGGGCAGAAAGGGGTGTGGGGCATGCCAGGTAAGAGGTGAGAAGGGACGCTGAGGAGAAGGGGATGGGAAAGGAGAAAGATAGAGACGGAAAAGAGAGTGAGGAAAATTAGGGGGAAAGGTGAGAAGTAGGGGAGGGAGCTAGGAAGAGCCCAGAAAAGAACAGACATGAAACAGCAGGTGGCCACAGGGGAGGGACCGGGAGAGGGGCTCAGGGACAACACAAGGTGCTGGATTGGAGGGGCGTCTGGCCCTTCCTTTGGTGCTCTCTGCTTTTCTCCTGTTTCTGTCTGGAGCTCCTACCTCAGGACCTCTGGCTGCTTCCTGAGCCTCCTGCCACTTCCTGTGCAGCCTTCTATGCACCATCTTGTGGATTTCTCTTCAGCCATTAGGAAAAGGACCTGTGGTGGTCATCAGTGTGAAAGGGGCAGGCTTGCAGATATCAGGATGCTCCTTGGGCTGTGGTTGGAGGAGAGAATAGAAATTGGAATTTCTTGCTCACTGTAAGATCTTGGGGTGAGGTTCCTCTGATGACTCGGTTTCTCTCTGGTGATACATCCTCCCCTGCCCAGTTCTGGCTTTGGGGAGCTTGAAAAGGCAGAGCAAGTGGTGGAGGTTGGGGGCTGGGGGTGGTAGAAGGGACATGTATGCTTTTTCCATAACCTCTCACCAGGCTTGAAGGAGGTTGGTCCTGGGGAAGAGATCTCACTGAACAGAGTCTGGTAGGAGAAGGGGTGATGGGAATCAGACTGAGTTCCACATCTATCCTGGATTAGCTGGTGGATAAAGAAAAAAGAGCAGGGTAGACAAAATTGGGATTCATTCATAGGTCTGTATAAGTGCAGTCCAGGGAGTGTGGGGTCTGGAGGTCTTGAGAAGACTTAGAAATGTGCTGGTTATGACTGCATTCTCTTGGGTGTGGGGGTGGGAAATAAGGAGGGATTTGCTATGTTTCTAGGCCAGCTTGATAATCCCTTAGGACGTCGACTCTGCTGGGTTCAGTCATTTGGCATTTGATTTCTCTGTCCCATCCCTGCCCTTCTCTGTCCCCCTCCCTCTGTCCTATATACCCTTTCTTCTCTTTTCCTTCTCTGGGAGAGTGGTTTGAAGTCTGGGCCTGATTAGAGGTGAAGAGTGAAGTATAGGGTTGAAATGAGGTAGGAGGAAGGATAAACCATTGGGATCTCAGGAAACTTGGAGATAATCCTTTTCTAGTCTTAAGAGTCCTTTCAGCCATCCCTTCCCTTCCCCAGGACCTTCTGAGAGCTCACCAGTGTTTTCCAAGACCCCAGTCAACCTTCTTCAGCAGGAGAAGTCCTTAGAGGAGCTTCTGTACACTTGATCAGGGTTTCCATGGGGAGATAGTGGTCCCCCTCCTCCCCAAGATGGTTGCAGTGGAAACCTTCTATCCTGCTGTAGGAGAAGGCTCTGACCTCCCACAGACCCTCTGACTCCTGTAGTTCATCCTTCTCCCTCTTGCAAGGTGCTCCTCTGGCTGGGTGTGGGAAGGATATTGATGCTGGGGTTTAAGTTGTCTGGGTCAATAAGGGCTGCTTCCTGGATGTGGAGGTCCAGGTAGCTCACAGGTGCTTTCTCTCCTCTCCTTGTCGCTGTGCTAGCTAACAAGCATAAGCCATGGATTGAGGCTGAATACCAAGGCATCGTCATGGAGAACGACAACACTGTCCTGCTGAACCCCCCACTCTTTGCCTTGGATAAAGATGCCCCCCTGCGCTATGCAGGTAATTGGGGCTTAGGGTGGCAAGGCAGGGAAGAATGGAGAAAAGTGAGTGGGAAGGGAAAAGACCAGAGAGTGAGGGGGAGGTCCTGGCAGTGGGAGCAATGGCAAAATGGGGCAGAGAAAGTGGGGTGTAAGGAGGGGCGTGGGCTGCACTGAAGAATGAAGGTGGAACAAAGGATACCCAAGTTGGGCAGGTAGGGGTAGACATATTTGATTTTGCCAGACCTCAGGTCTCCTGCTGGCTCTAAGAGTACTGCTCAGGAAAGCTAGGGTTGGAGTTATATGTCTGATCACTGATGTTCCACATATACAGGAGAAGGGGCTGGGGTTTGGGAGGACAGGTACAGTCGGGCATCCCCCAGGCAAGGAGGCTGAGGACTGGAAGGAGATGCACTTTGTAGTGCAGAGTCTCACTCTTTCCCTTCCTGCTCTGCCAGGTGAGATCTGCGGCTTCCGGCTCCATGGGTCTGGGGTACCCTTTGAGGCTGTGATCTTGGACAAGGCGACGGGTGAAGGGCTGATCCGTGCCAAGGAGCCTGTGGACTGTGAGGCCCAGAAGGAGCACACCTTTACCATCCAGGCTTATGATTGTGGCGAGGGGCCCGATGGTGCCAACACCAAGAAGTCCCACAAGTGAGGAAGGCCTATCCTCTATCGGTCTGCTGTAAAGCCCTCTTCCCTGCTATCCACATCCCTGTCTATATCAATTAAATATCCACCCACCCATGCTATTCATAGAGCTTAGGGAATCTCTGGT